AAAAAAAAAAAAAAAAAAAAACTCTGAGTCAAATCAGTGACGCGTACATTTTGTGTTATGTTTGCATACATCAGTTTTAAAAATCGCAGTTCATTTCTTTCTGTTTTGTGAGGGAAATAAATACAGCAGCATAATACAGCTACATGTACAATAATGGAACAAAGTAGAATTATGCATCAGTTACACAAAATGTGTGTCTCACTGATCTGACCAAGGGAGTCACTTTTTATCGTGAACGACCCTATTTTTTTTTTTTTTTTAGGCGATACAGGCTATTCACTGTGTCCTCCTCTCTTACCTGTTACAAATCACAAGTCTCACTGGTTTCTTCCCCATCTCCACCAGACTGTTAGCTGGGGAAACCATCAGCGTGGTCCCCAGACACAGAACTAGGTCATTCTTCTCAGCATGTTCTACAGCTTTGCTGAGGACATGGGATTCCAAGTTGTCTCCAAAGTTGATGATTGTGTTCATCAGGTAACCTTGGCAACCCTGATACGACAAAATAGAGAAAAATTTGACATTCTATGATATTTAAATATGAAATCCACAGCATTCTGGAATATTCTATTTACTGAAAAAAATGCGTTTGTGTACATGTATATCTATACCCGACTGTCATATGATAAAATGTGTGTCAGCTTTTCTGTTTGTCTGTGTGTGCATGTGTGTTTGTGTGTATACACAATGTATAAAATGCTTTCACTAAAATGTATGTGCATGCATGTGTGTGTGTTTGTGTGTGTGTGTGTGTGTGTGTGTGTGTATTTGAGTGTGTGTGTGTGTGAGTGTTTGAGTGTGTATACACATACCTTCCTCTCACACATCCTCCCTGTTCTATGGTTAATTCTGCAGTGTTCACATGCCTTGGGAACTCCGCCTGCCAGGCGAGATGCAGAGGGTCTCTCGTATCTGGTGCCACAATCCTCACATTTTTCATGGAAAGCATTCCCATGAAGTTCCGAGATTCCATCTCTTGGAATGCCAGACAGCCTGAATGTAACACAATTCTTGATCAAATAATAAAAACATTTATCTATATTTGAAAATATAATAAATGAAAAAAAATACTCGATTGATTTTATCTAAGTAGCATTGACATACATGCATGTAGTGCAACTTGTTAAGAGAAAAATCATGAATATTAAAAATTGCACTTATCAACAACAGAAGTTTTACAAAATGTTGGCACAGATAAACATACACCTCTCATTATATTCCAAATTACCTGTGCAATCCATCAGTATTTTGACTTATCACATATTTCAATATTCCCATCTTCATCAACTTGACCAGAGCCTCATGGGTATAGGTAGGGCGAAGGTCTGAGTACCTGAAACCACCCTTGCTCTTAGCACCTTTCCCTAAAATATATATATATGAATTATATATATTCCCCGTACTGTCAGTGGCATTATACTCCAAACAGGCATCAAACCAGCAATTTCATAAGGGGGTTCTTTTTCTGAAAAGTGAAGATTTTAACCTCTTAATTCGCCCATCATGGTAGGGAATGGCATAAAATCTAGATCAAAACACCGTAGTTTTAATTTTATTTTATGTATTAAAGAATTGTATTTATTTTTATAACCTATTGTAGAATCCAACTATGTCTTGTTGAAAATAAGTATTATTATAATTATCATAATCATTCTTATCAAATTATGATTCAGAGTGAACTTTTTTCCAGTAATTTTGTGCAGTACTTTCCAACCTTTAAATCTCCTTTACCTAAGAGCAGCCAAATGGAAAGATCTGCAACATGACATGTTATGCACTACAGAGTAAACATGCCCTTTTTGAGAAACACACCTCCCCCCCCCGCCCCCCCCCCCCTCATCCTCTAGCTCCACCTATCACAGGGACAAATTGAGGCCGTCTTCAGGGTCTTCTGGAAGACGGTCAGATTTTCAAGTTTACATTGACAAGTATCTAATTTTTTCAGTCGGAAGACGGTCAAAAAGGGAGGATGGATCAACCAAGATAAATTGGAAGACTTCTGGATGACGCCTGTATCATATATTTTTATGAACGTTGACCCACTTCACCTTTGTCAAGGAAAAATAGTAGAGTTAGATTAAGACATTGAAAGAACTCTCCATTAGATATCCAATTTTTTTTTCTGTCCTTTCATTCTGTTAGTTTTCCTCATACCTGTGACTTTAGCTCGGTCCATTTCTGTCCACTTCCCACTTTTGCCACGGAAATCCCCAATACCAGCTGACGTGGAAATACCAGCTCCTAAATTAATAATAATAATAACTCATAACAATTAATTTCTTAAGAAGTATTGAGAAATATTGGGTGTAACTCTAATAAATCAATGCTAATGTAAAGAGCTTCATTTGGATTGTGTTAGGGGTGACAGACACAATGTGCCATATTTCTTTAATCATTCCTGCTATTGACATATTCAGCTGTACAGCGAAATCTAGACTGAACTATACAGCTGACATTGTTACTAGTTGGGGTAGCGCTAGCAAATTTTTTTTGCTAGGCCAAATCCCTTCTTTTTTCATCACTTTTTCCTCCACAGGTTTTAAATTTGGCTACAACAAATCAAATCAACCCTATTTTGTTTTAACTCAGTTTTAGCATTTGGTAAAATTGGCAAGTGTTAGCGCTACCCTAGACTAGATAAAAGTGTCAGTCATTCAGTAGTCTTGGTGAAAAAAAAAATATAAATTAATGAAAAAAGGAGTGCTTTGCTTTGAAAAAATTTTACCTGTGAACGCAATACAATGGCTGGACCCTCTCAGCATGTGAGCCACTCTTTTCGCCTCAGACTTCACTTTCTCTTCAGAGTCAAAATACTCTGCCGTCTTCTTTGCCTCTGTTACCATGGCAACCTCAGTTTGGGTCATGGTGTTTGGTGCGGAGGCGTGGGACGCGGCAGCTTTGCTTTGGGCGACCAGACTTCGCCAGCATTCTTCATGCAGTATGGCATCGCCAGCATCCCCCCACTTCACCAAGGCATCTTTGTCTTTTAATCCTACAGACCCAAGGGAAAACAAGACAAGAATAATAATTATAATGATAATAATAATAATGATAATAATTATTAAATGTTGAACTGAATATGAAGAGCCAAAATGTATACTATCTTGTGGTACATGTATTTTATAGTTATCTTTTCTTTAACAATTGGTGAAGGATGAGGGAGGGGCAATCACAGGATCAGGAAAAATATAACCAAATATAACTGTAATAACTGAAAATAATTGGATGTAAAAGAAAAATCTGATCAAGCAGATTTTACCCTTCATGTTTATGGCTTTAGAGTGATTCCTGGAGTCAAGGTTGATAAAATAGCAGTAAACAAAAAATAGCGAGTTTTAACTCTAAATAAAAACATTAAGTGTGGACAATCACTTGGCAATTGATTTAACCCAACCCTAATTATAATGTCAAAATAGAAGTATTAGAAAATGAAGATAATATTTTAAAATTATAAAATTTGCCTGCTTAAGTCAGAGAATCACCATGAAAAAACTGACTTTCTGATTTAAATCAGGCATAATCAATGCTGTTTTCCATGTTTTACCTGTCTGTGCTGGCTCAAATGACTTTATTTCCACTCTGCAACCTCCTCTTGTTATAGTCTCTTTTTTATTGCACTTCTTGTAGCTACAAAGATAGCTTGTTTTCTCTGCCATTGTTGTATGTGAGGCAAAGAAGGGATCTGAAGAGAAAAACCCTGTTATTTGTTAATGTTCACCACAAGTGTCAACAAGACAGTAGCAAGTCTTCATTCTCAGACAAAAAAAAATAAAATAAAATAAAATACTAGAACTTAAATCATTGTCCTGCATTTGTAAACTAGTGGGTAAAACATGATACAAGGGCAATGCCCCCCAAAGACAACCCCAGGAAAGAAAATACATATGAATTATCTGTATTTGTCATGAGGCATTTATACCTATCTTGAATATTTTATTGAATATGAATATACAATGTAAGAATGAAGACAGAAAATGAGATACAAGTAAAAACATAAGAATTGGCTATTAATTATAAAATTCAGGCAGCCAGCGTATGTGCTTAAACATACCTGATGCATCCTTTAATAAAAAGATACAAATAGATGCAACTTTTGTACTGTACACTTGCCATTACACGTCATTAAGAGGAAATTCTTTTTTGAGAATTAAATGGATCTTTTTACCCACTTAATTTAACAAATTTGGGAAATTATTTAAAACATAGCTCAAATGTTGCTTCGGAGTGGAAGTTTCCGGCCAAAAGTGTACTGTAGTTCTTTCAAGTCCAATGTGTACACTACCATTACTACTAGTACATGTATTTCACCACTACTACAAATGTAGTATGTTTTCATTCATTTACAGCAGCATTATTAGCTTTATAGCCATTCACTCCAACCTGCTGAGTCAGCAGCTTAATATAAATAATGTATGGCTACTACTGTAGTATCTCTAATCTATTTTTACAGTACGTATTACTTATCCATAGCTGCAGACTCAGCAGAAATTACTATGGAAAAGATGTACTAGTAGTCCATTAACCTACACTACTGGTATATGCATTTGTTTCTTCTTAATTTGTTCACATCCCAAACATTTCACCTCAACAATAATCTACCTGTGTCAGGCCCAAACAGAGGCAAAGGATGTACACTTCCAGTATATGTATATACTGGTCCTTGTACAGTACAATGTACATGCATGTACTTGTAAGAGGTATACATGTATATGGTGGTGAATCTAACACTAGGTAACATGTCCCTACTAGAACATACAAGGTCAAGCTACACCCCCATCTCTCTCTCTCTCTCTCTCTCTTTTCCATCAATGGTACAGTACATGTACCGGTATACTACTGTACAAAAATGTACTAGTAGTACAAATGTAGTTACATGTACTGGTATATGTATGGCCGATTTACTATACTGTATCTAGAAGTAGAACTCTGAACGGCGCTGAGACAAACTTACCAATATTATTTCAGCGACACTATATTGTCTACAGCACTATCTTTCCACTGTCGCTGCAGCGACACCCGTAGTATTAGTATTATTTTAATTATTTATACAATTTGACTTGCTGAGTCAGCAGCTGAGTTTAGATCGTTACGGTAAACTCGCATATAAACAACGTGGCTGCAAAACAATTACGAAGATTTATATTTAGCGATCATCCGTCAGTCTGTCGCTGTTTATTCATTGGTACAGTGGTAAAATTAAGGTGTGGCACTTACTATAAGACAGGGGCGGCGCAGTAACCTAGTTCCATCTTTTCTTCTGATTTGTTGACATCTTCAAATGGGTGCATTCACCGATACTACTGATGTCTGGTCGGAGTTCGCCAAGATAAGCCAAGCGTTTCATGCACTTGCTCACCTGAGCTGGGTCACTGTCTGCCGTGATCTGAATACTATCTACGTGTTTACACCTATGGTAATGGCTCAATCATTTCAACGGGGCACATTTTTCAATTTTTCAGATACATAATTATGGAATCATTTTGGTGTTTTTACTGTATAGAATAGAACTATTCGGTAGTCTGCTTTTCAACTGTGTTTCTACCACCGAAAAGGAATGTTCTAATTTTAATAATTAATTGCATAAAATTGAAATACAGTACGTATCTGTAAAATTAACAGTTTTCCTGGTTGAAATGATCTAGTCATTACCGACTGTAGCCTGATCCAAACGCCTTTCCACATTAGTTTTGGGCACTATACCACATTAGCAAAATCCCTTATCAAACATTTACACCTTTATTAATTTAATTTAATTAAAAAGTACTCCCCATCACTCAATTTATACCCACTCAGGTAAATGACTTCCTATTCAAGTTCAATTGGAACTATGGGCGTATCTCTGCTAATTTTGAAGTATTTCACATTTTATTTTTCACCACAGAATATTGCGACGTTGTACTTTTTGACTTAGCGCAACTCCTTAACCGTATCGAAAACAAAAATACGGACACCACTGCCAGTATTACACTTGGCAATCTCTACAAAATGAGAAAAAAAAAAAAAAAAAAAAACGCAGGGTCCCTCCCAGTGATAATGCACCCATTGAACTCAAATTTCCAAAGATCAAAGGAGTCCTTAATTGTAACCCCTCACTATCATACGAGATCTTAGCTAGGTCTGTGTTGTTTTTGAAAATTGGCACAAACAAACATATTTTGCAGAAACACGTCATCTTTAAATTGTATTTTCGAATTGCACTGAAAAAAAGGGGGCACATGTCTGCATGTAAAGTTACATATTGTGTATTGAGAGAGAGAGAGAGAGAGAGTAAGGCTCTATTCCCATAGATTTTAGATCGATCTATCTCCGCGGGGAGTCTCACTAGATTACTTTCAGATAATCCGACTTAAATGTCCGTCCCGCCTACTACAAGCTGTAAGAGGGTAATTAACTTTCGTGTCCGCCCGGCTGACAGCTATTTAGCGTGAACCCCCAGGGAGTTAGGTCGATCTAAAGTAGGTCGATCTAATCTATGGAAATGGGGTGTAACATCATCCATGTTTGAGACGTAAAGAAATGTTTATAACGTAGCACATGTGCCAGCAAGCCCCGATAGAAACGTATTTGGGATGTTTCTTTGACAAGAGTTGGAAAAATTTGTATTTTGGACTTCATCCAAAGGGGCTATAAAAATCTGTCTTGTAAATAATTTGAATTCATTGCGTGATAAGCAGGTCAAGCATCCTCAGTAATTTTTACAGTTCGCCATGGGCTAAACATGACATATGCCTGCATATAAATTTTGGAAAGTTTATGTTATGCGCAGTATTTATAGGCTATTCACTCAGAGATGAGATTAGCAAGGAGACGCGGCGGTTACTGAACGGCAAGGAGTAGGTAAGTAATACTGTACAATCGACTTCTCAGGGGTAGTAACTTTAACTAAGGTAAAGTTGTCAGTCTGGCGTTATTAATCAGCAACGTGATTGTCCATTTGAATGATAATAGTTTTACTACAAAAACGAAAGAAATATAGAATGTTTTAGGTGGATAGTGAGATAGACCATAAGTTATTTTGTGTCAAAGGAACCAGCTAGCTTTTCGGATACGTGTGTGGCGTTAATTTATGAGGGATCCATTTTATATACGCCATAGTTCTCTCCCTACCGCCTGTACGGTAGTCTATCAGGGCTCCGTATCTCGAAAGGTTCGTTATGTTGCGCACGTGCACAAGTGTCTCGATTCCATAACCGATTTTATTTCGAGATACGGAGCCATGGAATCGAGACACTTGCGCACGTGCGCAATATAGCGAACCTTTCGAGATACGGAGCCCAGGTGAGACCACGTAGATAACATATTAATTTAGATGATACGGTGAATAATTGACAGTAGATCTACATTTAGATACCACTGTTAAAATACGTGCAAAGAAAAACGAACAAAATAATTGGGTCGCTTACATGAAACTGTTGATGATGGACAGTATAGGTCTACTTTTAATGTAGATAATACAGTCATGAATACTGTCATCTAAAGGTAGTGGGTCAAAACTTAAGCCAAGATTTCAGTTGTGTTACCAAACACTAAAAGTAGGCCATACATAAAGGATCATTATAAAACACTAACGCGAAAGGAAACACCTTATAACTGAACGCACGGAATTCACCATGTAACGCTTCAACAATCACGCTGCTGATGTTTTCAGTCACGAACAAATATATATAGAAAAACATGACACGTAGAACACCGCTGGCGTGGAGACAGTTTTAGTATAGGCCTACATACTGGTACATTTTACACTGTACGGTATAAGCCCTAGGGCAAATATACAGGTACCAACAAATTGTACGACCATGGCGATAATAAGACAAGAGGCAGTCTATCAAATTGGTAAATTTTGAGATTACCTGAGCAATATCTGCGAATCACTGTGAATCACTGCTCAATCACGTGATCAGAACCTCATTGTGAATGCGTGGGATATCCTCAGAAATTGATAACTGCATGAGGGATAACCCTGCAAACAAAATTGATCTATACTATTTTTGCGCAGTATGTGGAACGCCATTACTGCACATAGCGTTACAGAACATTTTGACTCCACGCACAGACGCGTCAGGTGCGTCCTCCAAATTATTTAATACAGAGGATACTGTACAAAATACTAAAATGTGGCTTTTTTTATACTAAGTTTTGCCTATTTATTGGTTGTACAATCAGTAAATTTTTGTGACAATACTTCCTTTCAAAAGTTGAATAAATAACATTGGTTTATAATATGACTTTTTTAGCTTGCTTTTTTGGGATATCGATGATTCTTGCGCCACGTTTTTGAAGTTTGCGTATATCTTCTTGTTTCACGCAGCTGTTCCAAATAATGAAGCAGTAAGCCGAATGAGATAGTATGTGTTTTACCATGTGGGATGTGTTTAATTTAGATAAAATAGCCAATTAATATACTATTAATTCTTATGTCAAGTTTAAAGTCATTCCAGCTTAGATTTTTATTTATATGCACTACAATGTTTCTCTAAATGCACATTTTCTAAAACGTCCTCATTGAACAAAACTTTCAGTGAGCTTCCAGTTTTTGGTAGTTTTGCACCTTCCTTTCTGGTTGTGATAAGCGCTGCTTTTGTTTTTGTTTTGCCGCAATTCGATTTAACCCTAAGCACCTTGAAACATGTTCGATGCTGCTATTCAATTTGCTGTTTAGTTCAGGTCCCTACAGTTTGGTCAGTGACACTGAGTTATTGTACAGTCATCAGCATACAAAGCAATTTATCCATTAATATCCAATAGGAACGGATTGTACCGGTACATGTACCCGGTACAAACCAAAGTTCTTATCGTTGTATATTGCGTTTCAGAGAAAGTGAGTCCAGATGGAGGCCGCAGTGTGGCGATATATACGGTGCATCCGGGCACTGTGGAGAGTCATATGGCTCTATATATTATGTCATACCTTCTACCGGATTTTCCCGGATCGCAACGAGCAGCGGATCCGAAAGTTGATAGCGTCCACTGGACAACCTGTCACGGAGGAGAAGGTTCGCTGTCACATGGAGTCACAAGGTACGGTTATGTCAATATACATCGTATCTTAGCCAGCTGGGACTTAACAAATTAAGATGCAATGTTTCCCTCCACTGAAACGTTTCAGTTGTCAGTATAGTAAATTTTGGCAATTAAAAGTAACTTCTCAATGAATATTTCAGGGGATTGTGAATTTGTGTGTATGTGTGTGTTTTTTTTTTTTTTTTTTTTTTTTTTTT